TTTGAACTCAGAAAATTTGCTTCAAATAATCCTAATGTTTTATCAGGGCTATCTAATGACAATTCCACTGAATATGTAATAAACGATTCTCAATCAACCAAAATTTTAAGAATTTCTTGGAATTCAGAAAGTGATAATTTTATTTACAGCTCCAAAAACATATCCACAGAACAACCTGTTACAAAACGTTTTATACTCTCTACTATTTCTCAGATTTTTGATCCACTGGGTCTTCTGGGTCCAATAGTTGTTCAAGTAAAAATATTGCTTTAAAAGCTGTGGCTTTTGAAGATCGCCTGGGATGAACCCATACCTAATGATCTTTGTCGAGTTTGGATTCATTTTGTCCAGCAATTATCTGATGTGATTTCTTTGAAAATATCCAGACAAGTTACTTCAAAAAATCCAAAAAACATCCAAATACACGGATTCTGCGATTCTTCTATTAATGCCTATGGCGCATGCATTTATATAAGATGTGAGGATTTTCATGATGGTATAACTGTCAACTTACTTTCAGCAAAATCTCGTGTAGCCCCCCTTAAAGTGATATCTCTGCCTCGACTCGAATTATGTGGCGCATTATTGTTAACCAAATTAATTAAAAACATTGTGTTATTTTGGACTTACCAATTAATCAAATTTTTTATTGGACGGATTCAACAATAGTGCTTTCTTGGCTTTGTTTGGAGCCTCGTTATTTAAAAACAATTGTGGGCAATAGGATATCAGAAATCCAATCACTTTCTGACATCAACAATTGGCACCATATTAAATCTTCCCACAACCCCGCTGATTTGATTTCCAGAGGTATTAATCCTCCCGAATTAAGAGTCAATAAACTATGGTGGCACGGCCCTGAATTCCTATCAAAATACTCTGAAGCGTGGCCTTCGAAAACTCACATTTCTAACTGGGCTCGTCAATGTAACGTATCCGAAATGCCGGAAGTTAATCCCAAATCTGTTATGTCATTCCTTGCAGGAAATCATTCAAATGATTTTGATGAAATATTTTATAAATTTTCTAGCTATAATAAACTTTTGCATGTAATAGCGTACTGTTTGAGATTTTCGAAAAATAGCCGGTCTTTTACAAAACAACGAGCCGTCGGACCGCTGTGTCAAACCGAAATATCTGCCAGTCTAAAATCTATTGTAAAATCAGTGCAAGCGAAAGCATTTCCTGAAGATATTTATAATCTAAAATTCCGTAACTCTCTAAAGAAAAACAGTAATTTAAGTTCATTAAACCCTTTTATTGACGACTTTGGCATTTTGCGAGTCGGAGGGCGTTTGAAAAATGCACCATTGAGTTTCGAACAGAAACATCCCATATTACTTCCTCATAACCATCCATTAACAAAATTGATCATTACTTATGACCACAATAGAAACTTGCACTCTGGAACCCATGCCACACTATCATTTGTTCGACAACAATTCTGGCCTTTAAATGGAAAATCCTTGGTAAAAAGGGTCATCAGGTCTTGTATTCCCTGCTTCAAGGCCAATCCCAAATCAATAATTGCACAAATGATGGGAGATTTACCAAGCTCAAGGGTCACTCCATTTCATCCCTTTTTCAACACTGGTGTAGATTACGCCGGTCCATTTTTGCTTAAAGATTCCAAGTTCAGAAATAAAAAAATTCTTAAATGCTATTTATGCATTTTTGTTTGTTTATCAACCAAGGCAATTCACTTAGAATTAGCTACTGAACTTAGTACTGCTTCTTTTGTTTCTGCTTTAAAACGATTTACCGCTCGACGTGGTTTATGTCAAAATCTCCATTCTGATAATGGCTCGAATTTTATAGGAGCAAAAAATGAGTTTGCTGCAATTTATGCTGTTCTTAAAGATAGCAAGTTTCAGGACTTTCTTATTCAGAATACAATTCAATGGCATTTTATACCTGCGCGATCACCCCATTTTGGAGGAATATGGGAATCGGCTGTAAGGTCTACCAAGCAGCATCTAAAGCGAATCCTCAATGACGTTCCGCTCACCTTCGAAGAATTTTATACACTCCTGGTTCAAGTGGAATCGGTTTTAAATTCTCGACCATTAACCCCACTGTATGATGATCCCAATGATTTAGAAGTACTCACTCCGGGTCATTTTTTAATTGGCCGTCCGATAAATGCTGTACCCGAATTAGACATTTCCCAAGTACCCATGAATCGCTTATCCAGATATGCGCATGTTCAAAAAATGACGCAAAGTTTCTGGACACGGTGGTCAACAGACTATCTACACACATTGCACCAGCGGAACAAATGGAAGTTTCATCAACATCAAAATGACCTGCTAGGTTCTCTAGTGCTCCTAAAAGAAGATGGTCTGCCTTCATTGCAATGGCATCGAGGGCGTATAGTGGACCTTCATCCAGGTAGTGACGGTGTGGTGAGAGTAGTTAGTGTTCTAACAAAAAACGGTGTCACTAAACGAGCCATTGTGAAAATATGTTTACTTCCGAAGGACGATTTAAATTATTGATTTTCTTGTTTTTTAATTATCTTTTTACCATTTATATTTTTATATACAACTCAATTTACCCAGTATCTGCAAATTTTATAATTAACTTTTCCCGTTTTATTGTATACCTATCTTTAATGTTAATGATATTGAAAGCATTCAGTTGGATACTTTCAAGGGCGGCGGTATGTTTGCATTTTTTTAAATAATAAACAGCCTTTATCAAATTGAGTAGGCAGAATGAGAAACAATCGGAAAAATAATGCATAACAACCCGTTGTTGATAGAGTTGTCATTCAAGTTTTCAAAAAGTTAGTCACGATTTTTTAATTGTATAAAAATACCTACATAGATCAATCACTCAGAGCTGGGTCTATTCAATTAATAAACACTAGACGTAACATTGCTCCAAGTGTTTCCATTCAAGGATATCATCGCTGATATCCCGTAGCAGCACCGCCAAGCAGCGCAATACCGAGAAGGTACCTATTCTTCAAAGTTGCGACAAAATTGGGCACCCTGCCCTCATCAACTACCACAATCGAGGCATTTGTTAACATTCACAATTTTTGTTTTGCCAGTTTTCCAGATAAAAATTGAAATGTGAAAGGATAAATTTTGCTTAAAAAACTCAATTTTCCAGAACTTTCCTTGGAGTGATTTTTCATTAGAAAGTTTTGAAATTTTCCTATAATGAGCCCTTCATTTTCTTCTTTCTCTTGGAAAAATTTCACAAGTTTTGCTTTATTAGTTTTCCAGAAATAAATTGAATTTTCCTCAATTTTACTTGAAAAAGTCATTTTTTCAGAAAGCTCCTGACTTTCCTCTTTTGCCAAAAAAAAATTAAAACGTGAGAGGATGAATTTTCCTTAATTTTACTTGAAAAAATCAATTTTCCAGAATTTTCCCTGGAGTGATTTCTCACTGGAAAATTGCTCTATAATGACCTCTTCACTTTTCTCTTTTTCTTGGAAAATTTTCAAAATTTTTCCTCTGCCAGTTTTCTAGAAAAAAATTAAAATATAAGAGGGTGAATTTTCTTAATTTTGCTTGAATAAGTCAATTTTCCAGAATTTTTTTATGGAGTGATTTTTCATTGGAAAATTTTAAAATTTTGCTATAATGAGCTCTTTACTCTTCTCTTTTTTCTGGAAAATTTTCAAAATTTTCCTGTTGCCAGTTTTTGAAAAAAAAATTAAAAATTTTGCCTAAAAAAATCAATTTCCCAGAATTTTTCCTGGAGTCATTTTCCACTGGAAAATTTTGAAATTTTCCTATAACGAGCTCCTCACTTTTCTCTTTCTTCTGGGAAAATTTGAAAATTTTCCCTTTGCTAGATTTTTAGAAAAAAATTAAAATGTAAAAGGGTGAATTCTCTTTAATTTTGCTTAAAAAAGTTAGTTTTTCAAAATTTTTCCTGGATTGATTTTTTACTGGAAAATTTTGAAATTTTCGTGAAAAGAGCTCCTCATCTTCCTCTTATTTTTGGAAAATTTTCAAAATTTTTCCTTTGCCAGTTTTCCAGAAAAAAATTGAAATGTAAGAGGGTGAATTTTCCTTAATTTTACTTGAAAAGTCAATTTCTCAGAATTTTTCCTGGAGTGATTTTACACTGGAAAATTTTGAAATTTTCCTATAATGATCTCCTTACTTTCCTTTTTCTTGGAAAATTTTCCCTTTGCCAGTTTTTTAGAAAAAAGTTAAAATGTAAGAGGATGAATTTTCCTTAATTTTGCTTGAATAAGTCAATTTTCCAGAATTTTTTATGGAGTGATTTTTCATTGGAAAATTTTAAAATTTTGTTATAATCAGCTCTTTATTTTCTTCTTTATTCTGGAAAATTTCCACAATTTTCTTTTTGCTAGTCTCCTAGATAAAAATTAAAATGTAAGAGGGTGATTTTGTCTAAAAAAGTCAATTTCCCAGAGTTTTTCCTGGAATGATTTTCCACTGGAAAATTTTGAAATTTTCTTATAATGAGCTCCTCACTTTTCTCTTTCATCTGGAAAAAATTCACAATTTTCTCTTCACCAGATTTTTAGAAAAAAAATAAAATGTAAGAAGGTGAATTCTTTTTAATTTTGCTGAAAAAAGTTAGTTTTCCAAAATTTTTGATGGAGTGATTTTTTACTGAAAAATTTTGAAATTTTCGTAAAATGAGCTCCTCATTTTCCTTTTACTCCCCCTAGTTGCGCCTATGTTCAAGAGCCGGGAATAGAAAAAAAAAATACTTCAAAAATTCGGAAATTTTGCCGCTAAAAATGTTGCTAACCTCAAAAAAAAAAAAAACACCATTTCTAAATTCTTTTTTTTACAGTTGGCAACAGCACGATTTGATATGTTTTCTCAATTCAATATGGCGCCGTAGGCAGAACACACCCGACAAGCAACAATTGAAATTGAATAATTCTTCATAAATCTGGGCAAAATTAAAGTAAAAAAAGTTGATTTTCAATCCAAATTTTGTCAAAAAACTCCATTTGCTCAAAAAACTATTGTAAATGAATGATTAATGATTCTTACCTGGGCTTGATACAAGCAGTGGATGAACTCCTCTGAATCCTGTCATTTTTATTCAAACTAGGAGAACCTGCTCCTCCTCCACTCAGGCACAAATTCGAATCTTTAATATTGGTACTTTTAATAATATTAATTTGATTCCTATTTGAAAAACTACTCGACCGTCTAATAGGACTATTACTAGGCGAATTGTTGATTTTATTAACAACTTTCTGATGTTTTGAATATTGACTAAATACATTTGTATAGGTTTGATCAATTGGTTGTTTGTTTTGAAAATGTTCCAATTTATTATTTATTGTCCGATCGTCTAAAGAATTGTGCCTGATGTGGAGGGCGCGTTGTTTGAGTAAATGCGCCGTGTTGTTGAGCTGCAGGCCGTATTTCATTTCGTAGTCGCTGTCCTGGTCGCTGTCCAGGGACAATTTTTGTTGGAGTGAGTTGATGTAGTTGCGAGTGGGTTTCAGGATGGTTTCGGTGTCGAAATCGTCAGATGGGAGGGCTGAGAGGCTGTTTCTGCTCCTGGGTCTTGATAAAGTGTGGATCGGCGATGGTATTTTCGATGGGGAGGTTTTGCCTGTTGGGGTTGGTGGTGGAAGACCTGTGGTGACTGGAATAAAAAGGTATAATCATGATTTTTTTAATAGATTTATTTCCAAAAAGTCAAATAATGAAAATGCATTTTGATATTTTTTTTTGGAAAAATCAATGAAAAGAAAATGTTGACATATATTTGCTCTGGAGTAAAAGAAGGAAAGTTAGGAATTCATCATATTAAAATTTGAAATTAATCTAATAAAAAACAACTACAGAAGAAATTTTGAAAAATCAACTTTCAAAAAGATAGGTAATGAAAATGCACTCTTTCATATTTTGATATTTTTTGAAAAATCCAGTGGAAAGAAAATGTTTAGTTTTTTGAAGTGAAAAGAGGATGATTGAGAGTTCATTAAACTAGAATTTCAAAGTGATTCAGTGAAAGTTCACTTCGAACACAGAATTTCGTAACATTTGATATTTGATCGATCATTTGATGATATGAGAATCAGCAGCAATTGTGAACTTTTGAATGTTCAATAATTAGTTTAAAGAAATCGTACTAAAAACTTATAAACTACTTTCAACTTATAATAATCAGAAAAAAAATTAAAACTCATTCTAAGCAAATTTTGTCATATGTATGTTTAACTTATAAAGGCCATAAGTACCCTGAAAGCGTACCGATTTTGGAAATAAAAGACACGATGTTGTAGTAAAAAAGTGACAAAAATGGAATTTTGACTGGCAGTCTGACACCGACAATGACATCTTATGAAATTTCAACAATTGCCGAGTTCGTTTTTGTCATCTTTTTCGTCAATTCGCTCCGAAGTTTTGACAGGCACGTGACTGGATAAGACAGTTTCAATTTACAAATCACGTGCCTGTCAAAATTTCGGAGCAAATCGACGAAAAAGATGACAAAAACGAACTCGGCCAATATAAACACATGTGACATCTACTTCCTAATACAAACAGTGCACCTGGATTTGTGTTAAGATGTGAAAGAACAATTTATCAAGGTCGAAAGTGAGTTCTTCAGGCCGAAAGTGATAGGAGAACAGTCACTTTCGACCTTGAAACATAATGTTTCATGGTTCACCAGATTGTCGAGATCTGGTACCAACTGGGTTCCCAAACTGGTACACATTCTTTGATTTTTGTTGGAGTTTTTTTTTGTGTGATTTTTTCAGATTAACAACCGGAACAAATGGGCTCGATTTAGGTCGACACTCAAAGATTACCTATTATCACGTGTGTGCTCCGCCTTTGTTGAAGCCCACAGCACGGATCATGACGGACGACGTCTGAAAGGGGAAAGGAAGCCAATGGGACAGGACGCATAGCGACAGATTTTATGAACCTATCAAACCTATTAAAACGATTGAGATATACTTTATAGCCTGTTGACTAGACAAGGACAACAAATAATACGGTCATTATACCCAATGCGCTTTGCACTCAAATGCTTGAAAATCAGTTACAGGTGCATCAGGAAAAAGAGGCAAGGAAAATGACAGTAGCTTCAGAGCGCCTGAGTGCTCAAAGCGTGGCACCCGAAAGCAGCTCAGAGAGCTTCTTGGGAGCTCTGTAGGTCTCTCCTAATAATGGAGCAGAACTCGCCGATCACGGAGCAAAACGGAGTGAAACTCAGAGAACAGAATGAATATGATCAAACAAAATTTTCACTGGTGTGGGAGGGCTAGGAGAGATTCTTAGGAGTGCGTAGGTCATTCCAGGTAATGGAGCAAGACTCGCCAATCATGGAGCAAAACTCGGAGAACAAAATTGCGCATATAGAAACTCCAAAATTTTCACACGTGTTGCAAGGAGAGATTCCTGGTAGCTGTGTAGTTCATTCAAGAGCCGCTTTCGGATGCAGTGTGCAATACGCTTTGCACTCGAACGCTTGAAAATCAGTTATAAAGGTGCATCAGGAGAAACAGGCGAGGAAAGTGAGAGCAGCTTGAGAGCGCCGAACTCTGTTCGCTCGAATGTGTAAAATTGTAGACGGAGTACTTCGGCTTCGGACTAACTCGAAAGCGCTGAGCACTCGAAGCGTGGCATCCGAAAACGGTTCGTCATGGAGCAAAACGAGCTGATCATGGTGCAAAATGGAGCAAAACTCGGTATGAGTAATTTCAAGTTTCAAAATTTTTACTGGGGGGCAAGAAGAGATTCTTTGGAACTCAAATGTTCAAATTTAAGAAATTTTACCGGGGGGGGGATAGGAAAGATTCTTGGGAGCTCTGTAGATCATTCCTGGTAATGGAGCAAAACCCGCCGATCATGGAGCAAAATGGAACAAAACTCGGAGAACAAAATGAGCATGATCAAATTTCAGAATTTTCACCGGGTGGGGGGGCTGGGAGAGATTCTTGGGAGCTCTGTAGGTGGCTCCAGGTAATGGAGCAAAACTCGCCGATAGTGGAGCAAAACTCGGAGAACAAAATGAGCATGATCAAATTTTTGAATTTTCACTGGGGGGGGCTAGCGTTAATTCAGCCCCCCCACCTAATAGGCCACATAGTCTCGCCACTGTAATGGAGCAAAATGAGAGCAAGATTATAGGATAATTTTCATCCAGAAATTTTCTATGGGGGGGGGTTAACTTAACTGACCCAGACAATAGTCGCTGTACGGCATTTTCTATAGGTGTGAAATTTTTGTAAGTTTTATTTAAAGTTAAAGAATATTTCTAATGGGTTTTTTTTTTTTTTGAAAAAAATGCTATTTTACGATATTTAAAAAAATTAAGTCGACCATTTTGAAAACTCCCCACCTTATAAAGGAATTTTTTGGGGTCTCGACTGAAATCTCTCAAAATCGCCTTAAGAATATGGGTGCCAAATTTAATGCTTGTATACAGTGTTCCCAGATCTACTGAGAAATCAGTAGATCTACTGATTTTACGTTTCGTCTACTGATCTATTGATTTCATGCTCAAATCTACTAAAAAATAGAAATTAGTCACTACCTACTACTAAATTTATTAAAACACCAGTGCCAACTGCGAAGCCCGGAGCGCGCCCTGAGTTGCCCGAAGTACTTTCTGAACAGAACACGAACACAGTAAGCGCACTCGGTGCATGCTTGGTACGCTGTGCTTTAAATATAAATAAAAAGTAATTCGATGAATAAATATATATTTTTTACTACTAACCTGAGAAGTAGTCATTATTCAATCTATTTTTCTCGGAAAAAATTGAATTTCTCTCCCTAGGTTAATAATGAAAATAATGAAAAAAAACCTAGGTCAATAATGAAAATGACGTCATGACGCAAGGATATTGTCATAACGTTACAGGTTTCTATTGATTTAATTTCGATTTCAAACTGTCAATTTAATCAAAAAAACAGGTTCCTGTATGTATCATAGGAAATTACCATAGATGTTGAAAGAGGGCAGCACTTTCAACTAGAAAAAATAATTTGAGCTCAGATTTCAAATTTATTTTTTATTTTCTACTATAGCAGTAGTAAAAAAAATTCTATATATTCCACGGTAGAGAAAGTCATTATATACCTTACGCATTATAAACCTCGGCGCTACGCGTCTCGGTTTATAAAAGCGCTCGGTATATAATGACCAACTTCTCTACCTAGGTATATAATGTACTATTTTTTTATTCTTCCATTAATTTATTGGTCAGTAAAATTATGAAGGCAGCTTTTTCTAAGTGTTTTGTCACCAAATGTAGGTAACGCATTGAATTGATTATAAGCGCCATTTTTTGGTGACAGAATACCTAAAAAAAAAAACAGCTCCACTTTCCAACTCCATGCTGCCACTCCTTCTACTTTCATACTCTATAGCTTTGTTCCTCAGAGGAATAAAAAACAATAGAGGCCGTTATTTACATTTTGACGAGGTGCCAGTGAGAAAGCATAGTCTAAACAACCAAGTCTAAACGCCATCCTAAACGCATCACATGTTGCCAATTATATTTTGGAAAAAAACCTTTATTGGACTTCTCGTCGAATAAATAGGGAAAAAATGCCTTAAATTTAATAAAAGTGCAAATAAACTGAGTAACTAGAAAAACTGCTCAATGCAGATTTTTGATAATTTCAAGTTGTTTGTTTTAGTAAAAAAGGAGCTTAGAAAATATTGTTATTATTCAAGTATCCTTATTTATTTTTCAACGTGACAACATCGCATAGTAAAACGGCGTCAAAGCTGACAGTTAATGTCAGTTTGATTGTGCCTTGTTGCCTTTTGTTAGAAAGCATCGTGAAATCGTTTTTGTGAGGTTTTTCTGATATTTTATGTTTGGAAAGTGAATTATTTGTGTGTTTTAAGACTAATATTGTACAGCAATATGGTTAAACAGTGTCAAATGTGTGAAAAATTGGATTATTTGAACCCGGGAAATTTCATTCCATAGGTAAGTAGGGGGTTATATTATGATAGCAAAGCAGTGGCGTAGAATAGGATATAATGTACCTACTTCGCCAGAAAAAATATCAAATTTGTTCCAAGATTGAGGAAATTAGTTACCAGTTGTTAATTTTGATAATTTTTTCTATGAACTTCTATAGGAAAAATCGAAGCAGAATAATAATAACCCTTATGCTTGATTAAAGTTAAATATGCGTCTTTGTAGGATTCCAACAAATCCAGAGTGCAGGCGTATATGGATTTGCCTTCTAGGATTAGAAAATAAGCGACTATCCAAAATCGCTGATGTGTGCTCAGATCATTTTAACCTCAATGATAATGCACTAGGCCTAATGGAATTAGATATTTGAAATCTGGTTCGGATTCTTCACCTGTTTCCAATGTCTTCAATACTTCAAAAGTAAGTTGGTTATTTAATATTTGATATAATTTCTACGTATTAGCTACATTAATTTCTAGTTCAGACCTCAGCTCAGACTTTTCAGTCACAGATGAATCTCCTCCAAAAACAAAAGTAGTGTAACTAGATGTTGGTTTGTAATAACAAAAAATATTGAATTATTGCTTATATTATGCAGACTAGAAAAAATGAATTGGAATGATTTTATAATCCAAAAAGAAGATACAAAATATCATCCTGATTAAAAAGGTTATGTGATTTTAACTAGTTCAAAATTCAATATTTGTCAGATAGGGCCAAAACACTTATTAAATCATTTTAGATTCCAAGGACTGAGGATGTATTCTGATGTTCCTCCAGGCCTGTGGTTGAAATCGTTAATCGGGAGAGTCATGTGTTTGACAAGAAAGTTGTTTCTGGAGGGTTCATATTTTTTATTTGTGTATAGGATGCTACATAGGATTTTATTCGGTTTTGAGATAAATAAGAGTCAGTGGTAATCATATATGCGCCTACCTACTTCTTAAAATAAGGGATTGCTCCGTTATCATTTTTTCTTTTTAGAATTTCCGATGCTCCGAGTACTTTCAAATGCCTGACAGTGCTCTCTCAGTCCTCATCAACTACCTCAACAGTTTCAGAAACTGAGGAACAAATATTGAAGAATGTAGTTTCATAATATATGGGCTCAGGGCTAGGGATGATGTAAGTTGCAAATTGCGGGACCTGGGTTGGCTCAATATGCAGGATAGGGCTAAGCTTCACCTAGCTTGTTTTGTTTGGAAGATACTGCGTTGTGGGGTTCCTGAGTATATAAGAAGTAAATTGTGCTTCAGAAATGAGGTGCACAATCGCGATACAAGATATTCTACATGTTTCAGTGTTCCCAAACATAAGACGGCACTATTCCAGCGTTCATTTTCTTGCTCGGTTCCAAGGCTGTTTAATGGTGACACATGGGATAGGTTTGACGAAATGTCCTCTCTTCAGGGGTTTTGACTTGCTTTTAGGAGAAAGTTGCCAAGTCGGTATTGACATGACTGCTTTTTGTCTATTTTTATTTTTATTTATTCATCTCTGTTTCAATTTTACTATAAATACTTATGAATAAGGTAAATAATTGTAACAATGTTATTGTAATTTGAACTTGAATGCTCGGTTAAGTGAACAGCCCTTCGCCGAGTGAAAAATAAAGGCCATTTATTATTATTATTATTATTATTATTATAACCAGACGTAGGGACCCTTTTTTGTATTATTTTGTAATATAACATGAATTTGATTGATCTAACACTGCTGTATTTATTTCATTTCAGATAGTAAACCTAATTCTTAAGATCTGTATCAAAAAGATTTATTGATCAAAAGTTCCCCAGAATCTGTTTTGTTTTCATGATTCTGCTAATGAAGCAGAACATTTTTTTTAAATTTGCTTAATTGTTGTCACTAAATAGAAATATTTTCACCATTAAACCTTCCTTTCGCACGCCTATGATCACTCAGGTGGAGTAAAGCAGGTGGAAAGCTTTCTAACGAAGCGGCGTTGAAATCCTTTAGAAAAAATACATTTTTCCCTAAATTTAAGGAAATTTCGGCTTAGAATGGGCGTTGTAAATGGCATACAAACAATAACGTATTTATGATTGGTATGCTCACTCTATAGGTTTTTTATTCCTCTGAGCTTTGTTCCAACCGACATAAGGACCGTTCTAGAACGGCAATTTCCAATCGATCAAATTATTTGTCAAGTAGGATAAGCATTCAACTTATTGAAAAATAAGTGTGCAACTGGAAAATACTGGTTCTCGTCATGACGGTTGGAACAGAGCTTATGATGTAAACAGTGTTGTTTAAGCAACTTGAACTTTTTCCATTGATCTATAGATGGCACTGGGAACGATTCAGAAAGATTTTTGTTATGAGAGAAATACGCTGAAATAAAATAATAATTTTCCATTGATTTCTATCAGTAACCTAAATGTAAGCAACACAATGTCTGACCTGAACTTCCATATTGAATTTCGTTTGATAGCTCATGAGATTGTCTAAGGGCCGAATTTATAGTCGTTCCTTGAATCTTCCTTGGAGTCGCGAGTGTAGAATGGACACTTGCGTCTATTTGACAAGTTAGTCATGTCAATTCTAAACGTTCAAGCAAGGCTACCTTGAGGTCTGAGGAAACCTCAAGGATCGACTATAAATTCGGCCCTAATTCCATAAAGTGACATTTCTCCATGTGAAAATGTAATTTTCAAGGAATACTTATCGCTAAGGTTTCCTTAAAATGGTTGGTGCAAACCAAGGTAAAACTAGCATTATAAATAAAGGACCCTGCATACTTCTTATGGGATTTCTGACCGTGGTCAACTTGAGCGTGAAGATACCTGTCCATCCTGATATATTATTAGGTGACAGGTAGATGTAAATGCATATAAAATGTGTACATTTCTTGGACAAAAAGGTGAAATCTATAACATACTAAAATTTGGTTAAATTTAACCGCGGTCAAAAATCCCATAAGAAGTGTAGGGGTCCTGGTATACAGGGTGTCCCACGGTGGATGGCGTATTAGACGTTTATGGAGAACTAAAAAGCGGATCATTTTGAAAATTTGGCAACCGGGATAAACGACCATGATCTACACTTTAAAAATATTTTTGACCATGCGGTGTTGCCGCTTCTACTCTAAACTAGTGGCAACATCACTATTTTAAATGAAACACCCCATATTAAATTGCATATTTGGATTCTACGTAAAATTCTGAGCAGATTTCATGTGATATACCCTTTACCTAAGTTCAACTGTTTCGGAAATATTGACAGTTGAAAATTGACTTTTTGCCACTTTGACAGGCTGTAGAACCTGAACGGTTAATTTTAGAGGAAAACCAATTTTACATTCCTATCTTAGATTTTTATAAACTATCATTTGACACCATCTTTGAATTAAATCCATCATTAAAAATTTCAGTTAAATTTAATCTCTGGTTAAGTTCAAAGTTGGTGTCAAATGATAGTTTATCAAAATCTAAGATAGGAATGTGAAATCGGTTTTCCTCTAAAATTAACCAATTAGGTTTTACAGCCTGTCAAAGTTGCAAAAAGTCAATTTTCAACTGTCAATATTTCCAAAACAGTTGAACTTAGGTACAGGGTATATCACATGAAATATGCTCAGAATTTTACGTAGAATCCAAATATGCAATTTAATACGGGGTGTTCCATTTAAAATAGTGATGTTGCCACTAGTTTAGAGTAGAAGCGGCAACACCGCATGGTCAAAAATATTTTTAAAGTGTAGATCATGGTCGTTTATCCCGGTTGCCAAATTTTCAAAATGATCCGCTTTTTAGTTCTCCATAAACGTCTAATACGCCATCCACCGTGGGACACCCTGATACCTACTTAAATAATAGTACTAAGGTCAAGTTCTGGAAAAGTGAATGAGCTTGAAATTTTTCTCCGGAATCCCCCCCCGGCACCCCTAACTTTACCACACCCAGAAATGTAAAGTATCTACGCCCTTGTTTGCCTGTGCCAAGAAAAGGGACCCACCGCTACGCCTACCTGTGCTAGCTCTCACCACTCTATATTAGTTATATTGTGGGGCCAGTTACCAAAGGTACCAATAGGACGCTACCTGGATGCCTATACAAATTTGACACGCAGTGAAAAACAGTAGTTGTCTCTTTTTATTTTACTTTCTTTAAAGCATGTGACAACAAAAACGTATGTCTTTCATGGTCTTTTACATTTCTATGGCGGGTTTCTTAATTGTGATTGGTATGCATATTTTGTTACCTATTATGCCAAACTATTTGATTTCTACTTTATTAGGTCCCTATTTAATATTATTGGAGTAGGTACCTATACCAGGTACCTACCCTAATATGTTAAGATTCTATTGGGAGCGACCCCCTACTGGGCCAATTAATACTTTGTGCCGAAATGTGAATTTTACCAACTCATCATAAAATGCTTTCACCTTTTCAACCTGACCATTTTGTGTCTAAATGGGCTACGCCCAAAATTTTTTTGGAAAAATATTTGGCAGGTCAAAAGGGGCTGTCCCCGCGAGGGTTGTACCGGCTGGTAGGGAGGACGCGACGTAAAGGGCTTGTCAGCAGGCAGAGACAAAATAAATGATTTTCTAGATTCTAGGGGACAGTTGCTAAAATAGTCGTAGTACAGCTATTATTTATTCACAATCTGTAGTTCAAAGGTACAGGTGAAATTTATCATCTTTCAATGCTATTTGATAGGGTTTAAAGAGGATAAATTTACCTGAACCTTTAGATTATAGATTGTAAATAGGATATATACGCAAACAAAGCAATTATTCAAATCTTTTGACGTAGATTTGATTTTTTAGCAATGACGTGGATTCTAGTGAATTTAAATATAGTTTCCAGTGGAAGCAGAGTTGACATCACTGCTCACCCCTGTTTTGAAGGATATGAAGGGTTTTACTCAGGTATAGAGAGAATAAGATAAAAACCTCAAAACACAAGAATTACCTAATAAGCAGGTACCTACTCTCTATATTGGATGAAACATTATTCCAGATGTTAACTTTTACTTACTCTGTAAATTTGTCAAAATTAAGCCTGTAACCTGTAATAGAACAAAAAACCTAATTTCTGAAAAAAAAAAAACTCCACTTACCTGTAGCCAAATTTCCAATTTTCCCAAAACCCAAACAACCATTAAACACTTCCCCATTATCAGGTGCAACTTCTATACTTTGCACATTGACAATATTGGCTGTCAAATGCCCTTTTTTACTGGCCTTAGAATTGTTCAACTTTTGCTCGTTGTAAATTTGTCCGTCAATATAAGCCTCCACATGGATTTCGGATTTTGTAAGACTCAACCTCCTTTTTTCTTCAGTTTTTATTCTGAACGCTCCACTAGAGCTAACTGATATCACAGCGCCTTCATCTAAAGACTTTTTTGGTTTGATCAAATCCAAACTATCATTGTCTATTATTGATAGATTTTGTGTTGGAGATAATATTGGAGATAGAAGTTTTTTTACATTGTTGTAGGATTTTATTGGAGGTACTGGAGGTAATGTGAAGCTATTTTGTAAGCTATAAGACGAACAAGAAATGTCTTCGCTTTTGACTGTTGTAGGTAAACTACGAATATATTCTTCAGTTTTTTCTTCTACACTGATTTTTTCGATTTTGAATTCGTTATCTATACTCATGCGGGCTTTTTGTTCTTCGGAATAATTGTCCACTTCTAAGGTGTAGGTACCTGTTTCGCTTGCTGAATCAATTTCCTGCAAAGAAAAAATAAAATTCTCGTGCAATTATGGTGTAGAAAATTCTTACCTCTTCATTGTTGGCATCCTCTTCTGAAGACAAACTAATATTTCTGCATAAGTCTTCCAAATTAGGACTAAACGGACTGATTGATTCGAATTCTGGACTAGAGATGTTTTGTAGATCGCAAAAACCGGGACTGGTGAGTGAAAAGAGAGTTGAGGAATTGGGAAAAGAGTGAGTCATACGATTTGAGGTGATGTTTTCTAAAGGCAGGGTTAAGTCGGTTTTTTTTGGTATTGAAACGACGTTGGCACTCTTGCATCTTTCCACTGGAAGTTCGTCTGTGAAAAAAAGCAAAAAAATTAGTTTGAATGAGTGAAGATAAATGTCATTAGTAATTTTTGGAAAATCTTGAAAAATACCTCAGACCGATTTCAGACTTTTAGGATTTATTAATTATAATGTTTTCAACAAACATGACAAATTTGAAGTCAATCTGAAGCTCGGATATAAAGTTATGAAGTTTTTTTCCAACTTAATACCAGAAAAAAATTGAAAAATTCATGTTAAATCACATTTGAAAAATCCTGAAAAATACTTCAGAGTATCAGATCGACTTGATACTTTCAGGATTCATTAACCAGGATTTTTTTTGTCAAACAAGGTAAATTTGAAGTCAATCTCAAGCTCAGAAATAAAATTATGAGGTTTTTTCCAACTTGATACCAGAAAAAGTTGGTAAATTCATGTTAAATCATATTTTAAAAATTCTGAAATATACTTCCGAGAATCAATATGATGCGATGCACTATCGAATGCAGTTATCCCGCAATAAATCTTGTAGAATATTCTCGATTAATATTCACTTGTGCCAAAACATTCATTTCATTATTTGTATTCCTCTCACGATATTTCTCTCGCCTTTTCGACATAGATTCAAGTTGTGCTAAATTTTTTGAAATATTTTTCTTCTTAATAAATTTCTTCTGAGATATCGCATTGTCACTTTCCTCCAGAGATTTGTAAGTATATACAGGTTGGATAATTAAAAAGGATCAACCTAGATTTTCTCGAAAATTATTAGGAAATTAAAAAAACGCTGGTTTTCGAGAAAATCCAGGTGAATCCTTTTTAATTTTACACCCTGTATGTAGTTTTTTCTACTACTTTTGACGACACCTTAATGAAAAACTGCATATACACATAATTGGAATTAAGCAGATATATATATTCATTTATTCAAAAAAAAAGGCTAATTCATTTATTTATTCAAGTATAAATAGATTTTTTTTATTTACTTCAAATTGAATAAATTTCTCTATTTCACTATAATGCTAGTTTTATAAAAATTAGAAAACCTAGTAATTTCGGAAGAAAACTTCTAAAAGTCCAATTAACTAATGTATATACACATTTTCCAATTACCTACATGTTTACAAAACAAAGTGCGTGTTAAAGGCTCCGAAAAAAATTAATTAATTAAACTTTTTTTATTATTATTACATTCAATCACGTCTTAATTTAGAACCCGTCTAACGGTGGATTATGAATATGGCTGACCTCCTGCCTTAGAATAATTTATTAGTAAAAAACGGATTTTGCCTTTAACCCAAATAAACCGTGATGTGGTGACTAACTTCAACTATTAAATTCAAAATAATAACATTTGACAGGTATTTATTTTTTTATTTCCTACTGAACTATTATAACCATATAATACCTTGGTTACAACAATCATAAACAGGGTCTTAACTCCCAAGGGAGTTAAGGATATCATAACTCCTAAGGGAGTTAAGGATTTCCATAACTCCCGCTTTTACCTTGAATAGATGAAACTTTGACAAAAAATAGAAATTTTGGTTTATGGTTTACCTATTCCTTTATAAAAATTGACAAAACACAGTAAATTTAGTAGGAAATAAATAGTGTCCCTCGGGTCGAAGGCCCTCGGGACACAAACTTTGCCCTGAGGTATTAACACCCTCATAATTCCCTTGATACATAAACAGTAATGTTAGTGGGTCATGACCGTCACATCACATTCAATGTGACCGTTAGTCATGACTATTTTACTGCATAGTGTGGAAATGTGTAGTAAACTGCATAGTATGGGGTGAAGTAGATTCGGTGTTCAGGTACACTCAGAAATCCCAATAAGGCCTTTTTTTGGAGATATAGATGCTCATAAGTATAATTTTCTACCTAACACATGTGGAAAGTGCCTTTACTGCATTTGTTAAGTGAATAATTATTATTTTTGTTATTTTATTTTACCTGCTAGGCTAGGATAGCTTTTATTCACTTATATAATAATTTGTTGAAATTTCTTCTGCTCTGAAATCCTTAATTATTTGTCAAAACTTAATCAATAATAATTGACTATCCTTATTTTAAACCCATTTGTGAGTTTATAGACCATAGACTGTGGGTAGTGGCGTTTTGAATTGAATATGTAATTACTATGAACTATGACCGTAATCATGACCGTTATGACATGTCCGAGGACATGTCATGGCGCAAATGACCGTCACGATTTTAAATGATCGTCATTTTACATCACTGTACATAAATAACTATTATATGAGCTCATTGGACTTAGAACTGTGTTTGACAGCTGTCAAAAATTGCTCAATTTAAAAACTATATTTATTTTTCCTCTCAGTAGATTTTGAGCAAGAAAGTTTTTTCAAAATTTCCTCAAACAAGCAATGTCACCTTGTGGAAACCGAGGGGTAGTTAACTGGTCAAAATCCGTGTACAAGTTAGTCGAAATCCCAGAAAATCTCATGAGATCTACTCAAAATCCCTAAAAATCTTTGAAATCCTTAAAAATTTAATCAAACCCCATAAAATCTCTCGAAATTGCATAAAATTCCACAAAATCTAACAAAATTTCATTAAAACCAAAAAAATCCTGCAAAATCTCCTAAAATCATCAACATTTCTAAAAAATATTTCTTTTGAAATTCCCAAATATCCTTTGGAATCCACAAAAATTTGTTAAAGTCTCTCAGAATTCCATAATTTAATGGAATTTCGTTAAAATAATTGTTATTCTGAAAAAGGAATTACATGTGAAATTTTTGCAGTTTCCATAGAATTAACATTAAATTTTAATTCCTCTCGAATTAGGTACATTAAATTTCAGTGAAATTCCGATCGAATTACACGAAATCCTAAATGGATTACATGGAGGAATTCTAAACAATTATATAAAATTACACCGAAATTCCCAAGTTTCATTAATATTCCCAGAAATTCCTGGCTATTAAAAGAGAATTTCAATGAAATTCTGAAAAATTCTTATGAAAATAAATTAAATTTTGAAAAATTCCTTAAAGTTTCATTGGACTTTCGAGAAATTTTCAACTATGAACGTAGAATTTCAAAATATTCTCATAAAATTTTAGTGAATTCCGAGGAATTTTTAAGAAACTACATGAAATGTCAATGAATTCCGAAGAATTTTATGAAAATTTTGTGGAATTCCAGGATATTTCAGTGGTAAAATTTTGGAGAATTTCAGTAAAATTAAAAAAAAAAATATAGAATTTTTATGGAATTTTGAAATTGAAATCTTAGTGGAATTCCGAGGAACTTCATGAAATCGTATACTGTAATTCCAAAAAAAAATTGTCTAAGAATTCCATCAAATCTTCTGGTGAAATGTTAAGGAATTTTTATGGAATTACTTAAAATTTTCGCGGAATTCCCATGGAATAACTTTAAATTTTAGTGGAATTCCGAAGAATTTCATAAAATCTTCGAGGGGTTAATCACTCCCCGAAATCGTGTTACAAAATCGCTCCGAAATCCCTCAGAAATCTTTCAGAAATCTTTTCGTAAACCCAAAAATCCCTCGCAATTGGTTTAAAATTCATAAATCGGTCAACGCGGCCGTTTTTCAATTTATACTAATACACCTTTGAATATACTTATAAGATAAGTAGGTAACAGTCTGAAATTAAATTAAAATATTAAAATATTAGCGAAATCATCCGAAATTCTCCAAAATCATCTGAAATCCTTCGAAATCTTTCCAAAATCCTACCAAAATTCTACCGAAATCCTCCGAAATCTCTCAAAATCGCTCTAAATCCGAAGTCTTGTCACATTTTTCCCTTAGTGAATATCCCCTCGAAAATCTAATATTGTAATTCCGAAAAAAAAAAAAAAATACAAAAATCTTATTGAATTTTATGCTGTGAAATGTGACATGTGCAATTTTTGCGAAGTTTATAGAATTCACATTAAATTTTAGTTCCTCTCAAATTACATGAAATATGAAATTTAGAGAAATTACATGAAATCCTATGTTAAAGCCCGACATTTGTGTTTGATTCAAGTTGCTTTTGAAAACTCTGTATCTTTTAGCACCAGTTAGTTTTTAGTTGATGAGTTGTCAAGTTGTCAATAAATTAATGAAATGCACAGAACATATCACCTATAGAAAAATATCTCAAATGGAAGAATCGCGACAAAGGTTTTTAGTTAGGTTTTCATTCAACGATGGCGACACTGTCGGGAGATAAGAGAAATTTACAGGTATCTTTGACGTGGACAGTGATTTGTGTTGGTTGGTTTTGTCATTTATTTTGTCATTTTAAAAGTCAAAATTTGAATTTTTAAATTGTGTTGTTGTACCCCACGGTTTCTACGCGCGTTAAAGTGAAAATTCAAAAAGTTTTGGTTGAAAAAAAACCTAATTTTTGTTCGTATTTTTTTGTATTTACTCGTTTGTTTCGTTTCGTTCGTATTTGTATTTATTATTCGTATTTACTTTGCGATCTACCTATAACTGCGTGACTCTTGCTAACTTACTAACTCTTTTTGCACTATGTTCGACATCGGAAACTTCCTGCCAGACATAGTTTTTAAAAAAGTGAGGCGAGAAGAGCTAAGAGGAGTCAGCAAGCCAAATGCAGTTGAACATTAAAAATTATACAAAAATATTAAAAATATATGAAAAAAATCAATTCGCCTTTTTGTCAAGAATACTCGATTAGTTGGGTTTTCAGTCAACGAGGGCGCCGTAATTCATAACCGGTATATACCATTGCAGATACTTTTCTAGAGGTGATATGTTCTGTGATGAAATGTTTCAAAATCCTGTCCGTTTTCCTCCCCGAATTTGGCGAATTTGAGCTGAACAAAAAGAAAAATATACAGTCCACAAGTTTCAAAGACAATTAAACATTGGTCCAATCGACCCGAATATGGAATCAGCGAAAATATTGATTAATTGAGAATAATCGAGTAAATTTCAGGTGAAAGGTGAAAGGTGAATAAACACCAGAATTCCGGTAACAGGTAACAGGAGAACTTGAAGGTTAAAGAAGGT